TGAATACTTTTGCGTGTCACTGTATATTAGCTAACTACCACCACGCCCTCGAGTGGAATGTAGAACTCAAGACGGCTAACTGCCTCAGGAACTTCTTACACTATACTTTCCTGTACATGGGATCTGATCATGGCATCATATTCTTCCGTGTTGCCATCAAGTTGCATTCTCCTATCTAGGAAGCACATCAATTGTTCCTTGAATTCAAAATGAACAACCTGTTGATCATCTTTAGCACCTTCTTGAAGGTCTAAAACATTTAGTCCACACAGCTCTTCGTAATCATCTTGTCTAGCCTGTGTGAGGAGCATGGTCTGTCGATACACTTCGTTGCCCGGGGACATAATGAGCCAACCTAATCTCGTTTGCTCTGCGACAGGCTCTCCGGCATTGCCATTAGGGGGAGGGGTATTGTTTGTCTAAATTTTGCGTAATGAACTATGCAAGAATTACGTGTATATATAATGTAGGTTTTTTATCCTTGTCAGAGATGTTGACTTGTCTTAGGTACGGATTGTTTATTTTTAGGCTTCAATAGTGAGGATTATTAATCTTCAGCAGTTCATTTTATTCACCATGGTAAGTTTATTATTTATCGTGAAAGTCTTGTACATTGATTGAACCAAAACATCATATGTTTCCATCCTCAACTGATACAAGCCCATCAGCATTTCAACCCGTTTTGTTCCTATTTCGCATTGTTTCTTGGCTAGCATATTTCCAACTTTAGCTGACGCAAACGAAATTCCACCCCCCGTGTATATGAGAGCTCACGTTATAATACCATCCACTTTCAAGAGTATTGCAGGGAAAACTCCTTCTCAAACCCCGTTCGGCGTTAACGCAACCTTCTTCACTCCCTCTGATGTTTGTTTGTCACATATTGAAGAATGTTGACGTTTCTCACAGGGCTGGCAGGAGGTTTTGCTTTGACATTGAGCTGCTTGATCTCAGTTATCACTTCCCGGTTATCATGTTAAATGTTGAACCTTCTCTAACCTGTGGTTTCTTTTTGTAGCTCCACACCTTTTTCCACAGTAGTAGTTCAGGATAAAAAAGTTTCCATTCACTCAACGAGCCTGCATCGTCTTTATTTTGGGCTGTTGTTTTATTGCATTGTTTTGTTCTTTTGAGACTTGTAACACCTCTCAACTAAAATTATATATATACGTTACTCATAAATTGAGGAGAGGTAAGCAGATTTTTACTGCAAACTTCTTGAACTATTGTGTCATCGTACAAAATAGCAGTACTTACTGTTTTGAACACATATGCGATGAAATTTCCTTTAAAAAAACGGTCCTTTGTGAACAGTAGCAGCACGCTGTGTAGCATTCAGGTCAATTTCATCAAAATTTTCAGCCGTCATTCCCGCATATTGATTATAGCATCATAGAAGATTGGTGTATATATTCGCTGCAACTTATTAGTGAACTCAAGACGATCTATAGAAAATGTCAACACTTTATGTATGTCTTCTATCAATTCGAACTGATGTACTGTAGCTTTCAATCACAGGTTTTACAAACTTCATCATCTTCTGTTGTTAAACGCCCATTCAAATGAGATAGTAACAATAACTAGTTTTGCTAGTTTTTGGAATATGAATAGGATAGTTCCACCTAACTATTCTTCTTCCATTTATTTTGTCACAAACAGGAATGCGGCATTTATTCAAACATAATATTTTCCAATACACATTTAATATAAACGACAACTTTTTTGAAAATAGACATGTTTCGACATCTCATGATGCCATCTTCAGTATGAGTGAAATAATAGGAGATACAAGGTTTATATAAAAGTAATATGATACATAAATTACAACAATAAAAAGGAAATAAGATAAATTAATGAGGAGCGTCCGAGCGTATTATAAACTAAATGTTGTATTGAATTTAAAAACTTGAACATTGAAGTCAGGGTTAGTTTTGTTAATGTGGAGTGCTTCTTTGATTTTAAGGGTGAATGAGGTGTCGGCAGTGTCGATGATTTTGAAACAAGAGGGTGAATAGTTGGTTTTGCATGAGTGAGATTTAAGAAGGTGTCAGTAGATATGAGAGTTTTTGTCTGTTGTGGTATGTTCCCTGATTCTGGTGGATAAATGGCGCGAAGTTTCGCCAATGTATCGGGAATTACATCCCGCGCAATTGAATTCATATACCACCATAGATTTAATTGAATCAGGGATTGGGTCTTTAAATGAGAAAAGGTTTTTGATTTTGAATGATGTGAAAATTAGTCGAATGTCAATATCTGTACAGAAAGGTTTCATAATGTTTGTAAGTCTGCGATGTGTGTGTCGTGAGTAATGTCCGATGTATGGTAGTTTGAAGTATAGAGTTGTTATTTTGGAATTTTCATTTGTGTTGGTTGTGATCGTCGTGTCAGGAAATTCGGTGTCTAGGTTGAGGTTGTTGCTATGTTTGTTGTCGAGATATCGTTTTACGGTTCTGTTAATAAAGTGAAGTGGGAAAGAATTTCGTAAAAGAGTGGATGTGATGTTTTTTATGTCTCGTTGAAAGTCATTGTTCGTATTGTTAAGTTTGTATGCTCTGTCGATTAGTGTGCGTATAAGTCCGGTTTTGTATGAAAGTGGTGTGAAACTAAAATAGTTCATCAGAAGTCCTGTGTACGTTGGTTTGTGGTATGTAGATGTTGTATAGCTGTCGTGAGATTTTGTTAGTAAAATGTCAAGAAATGGCAGTTGATCTTGTTGTTCAGTTTCAAAAGAAAATCTAATGTTTGCGTGCTGTGCGTTTGGAATAGCTTTACAACAAATTTTCAAAGTTAATGAAATCGCAGTTTTTCATTTTTTCTTACAAAATATTGAGGACAAACACGCTAAGACCGTTTCGCACAATGTCAGGGCTCTTCAGCATGCCTAGGAAACACAAAGTGCAAAGTAATAATGTAATTTTGGACATGGAAAATCTTTGTTTTAGCAGCAACGGCCCATTAGAGCAGCCAGTTGTGCTGTAAAACATTTTGGCACCAACGGGCATTAAGCAGCCAATTGTGCTGTAAGGCATTTCTGCAGCAACGGCGCATTAAGCAGCCAGTTGCACTGTCTTACATTTCTGGAGCAACAACGCATTACAGCAGCCAGTTGAAAGTCAGTAATATTTCTACAGTAACGTAGCCATAACACATTAAGCAAACGTGTATTACCTTTAGCAAACTTATTGATCACTCTGGGTAAATTCGCGGTGCTTTTCCTCATGTTGGCTACATCATTCTTCAAAGTGGTTATCAAATGAAAACCACCCATAACATCAATAGTTTTTCCCTGCAACAATTGCGTGACTGCAAGAGTAGCATCAAGAATATTTCTTGAAATAACTAGCGCAACCAAAAAAATGAAATTGACTAACTAATGAAAGCAACTGGGAAGCATCATCAGCAAGGGAAGGCTTCACCTCGCCGCTTAGATTGCTTATCATGTCCTGAAGAGTGTCGATTAAAGGGACAAACAACTGTTGAAACGTGTCAAGACTGTCAACCCACTCAACTCACCTGGTTTTACAAAGACTTACCAGTTTTGTCTTCTTGGTCTAAACATTTGACTTTTTAACGTGCTCAGCTAAGGTTATGTTACGTGTCAGCGATATATTGATAAAATTGGCAGCTTGAGAAGCAACCCACCTCTGGGTAAAATTGACTATCATCACGTTGACCTCGTAATCCAATGCCAAGCCTTCCACAAAAAAGAACTGCATATACAATATTTTTAAGAATTTTCCTATTTTGCTCAATTTCAAGTTTTATGTTGGTATCTAAGATATTTTCAATGGGTTGAGCTACATCTGACATTTGAGATCGTATATTATCCAAAAGTGGAGAAGTAGATGCATGTAGTCCCATTTTTTCCGCCTTACAACTTTCAGCATGTCGCCTAAATGTACCTACAGCATCATTCCAATGACGAAAAGGTGAACGAAATAGCTTGCTTATTCTAGAGCATTTACTGGGGAATAGATGTCAAAAAAACGTGATAAGCAATAAGTACCATCTTCTTTTGGTGAATAACACAGCCAGGTAAAATCTTTGAGCCATTCATATTTAAAAGACCTTTTATTGTTCTCACTCAAAGGAGGAAAAGTGTAATTTTCATCTGGTTTAAAAACATTTTTAATAAGCAAACAAATATCAGACATTTTTAAACCTTTACCTCTTTCGTAGTAGGTAGCTACATCAAAATTGTGACTAACGTTAGGCTTTAACTGTAAATCTACAATGGTTTGTTCAGAAACCCTAGTACAAGAAACATCACTTGTAATGATTTCTGGTTTTTCCATTTTTGAAAAGAACTTACTGACATTCCCAGACTTTTTTCTGCTTTTGCTTTTTTTGATGGCACAGGGCATGTTGGACCAGAAATTGTCCTTCTAGTTTTGCTAGGAAAAAACAAGAGGAACAAAATGGTTAGGTTAGAAACATTGATCTGGTTTAACTACCCCTTTACAACAAAAAAAAGATGAATTGCATTGGCTGATTCTTTAACTATTCTTCTTGGACAAACGAGAGAGTTGAATATTGATTTAGGCCTGCTCTCTCCACAATCTGGGTAGTAAGTAAAATTTTTTGTCTCCAACACAGAAGAAAGAGCTAAAATGCATAGAAACGATGACCACTTTTCATCGTGACAATTCAAAAAGGCCTCCTTTGTGACAAAATCAATACCTACAAAACCAGAATCTAGATAGTCTTGAGTCTCTAGGAGAGATAAATATTCCAGCACGGGGCTGTCTACCTTATGGAACTGGGAACCCCGTGCCATTTGTTTTAGTTTGAGCTAAAGCATTTCCACTAAAGTCTAACTTGTTACGGCCATATCCTGGCAAGCAACTTAATTGCAATGCTAAACAGATTTTCAATTATCGTTTGTCTCGTGCACGCAGGGTTATTGAAAACTCATTTGGTAGGTATCACAAATCACAATTATTTTTATACAAATGAATGAATTTACTTTAAAAATAAAAATATGGTGTACTCTATAGATAAATTTTAGGTAACCTTGCTCAGCGATGGCGGTTATTGGTCAGAACAATAATTGCTGAACCAGAAAAAGCAGCATTGTTAGTTAAAGCAATATGCGTTTTGCACATGTTACCAACTGTTGGTGATCCATCTTATACACCTCCAGGATTTGCAGATTCCATAGCTCCGGATGGTCATCCGTGCAATGGATTCTGGCAAAGCAATCCAATGCAGAGCTTGAAAGTTCCAAAACGTGAAGAGAAGTTGATTGCGATGAAAAAGAATTAGGGTAGCTTGGTTCTCTAGTTGTAAAATACTCAGCTTTGAACACTGCAGCTTCAATTTCTCTCTTGACAAGGTTTATTTGATAGTGGGATAGCTTCCTTAATCGGTTTGCAATCCCCATACAGAAAAAATGGGCATCATCTTCATCATGATTCAATTGCGGTCGATGGACTTAAGCATCTCATCATAATCCATGTAGCTTTTTCTTTTGCATGCTTTCTTGGTTTTTCGTTCAAGTGTTGGAGCTGTTAAAGTTGGTGTTGTTATCGATGGTGATGGTGAAGGTATGCGTGAGGGTGAACTGGGTGAGTTTACAAGAGATGATGATCTAGATGGTTCGTTTGATGACTGAGCTGATGTAATCGCAGAATAGGTTGTTGGAGTATTTAATACATCCAAATTATTGACTGGAGAAGGCGCATTTGTTCGTATATGTAGACTAGATGACGTGCTATAGTTAACAAATTAAATAAACTTTCATGTAAAATTAAAAAATTGAAATGATATTAAGCAAATAGCAAACCTTCTTTTTTTGTTAAAATCCAAATACCAATCAAATTGTCGCCACCATTTCCAATTCGGATCGTCAGTGGCAGCAGCACCACTAGCTCTTCCAAGATCGTACTGCCTTTTGTACTGCATGAATGAATCACGCAGATTAGCCCACTTTTTCATGATAGTGTCAACTGTAAATTGTTTAAAGGAGTAGTAAGACCTTAACACAGCATTCACTCATATGAAAGTGTATATTGTTCTTACCTCTCTTGCGAAATCCAAGGTTTCCAATTCAAATTTAACTCGAGAAATAATGCCTTAAATGTGTGTATTTTTGCCTCTTGTTCGATCGCCATTGTGTACATGCAAGCGAAGCCGCACTACAGCAGCGGTTTTTCTTCGTTACGTCACTGCTTGGTTTGGCGGGTATACTTACATACAAATCACAATACAATCACAGATTTAAAGACCCAATTGTCTCACTTAATTTTATTACAATTGTAAAAATGCCCTACTGTATAGTACCAGGATGTAACAATTGTTCGAAGAAAACCAAAGGGCGAGAAATATCGTTTCACCGATTGTCAAACGACAAAAATCTTCGTCGAATGTGGCTAAATCGTGTCAGACGTGAAAACCTACCGAAAGCAAATTCATGTTACGTTTGCAGCGCGCATTTTACGCCTGATTGTTTTCAAAATTCCTTAAATTAGCTATTTAACATGAAAGCAAAGAAGACGCTAAAACTTAAAATGGGTTTCCATATTAAATCATGTTGTCAATAGGCACAACTGGAAGGAGGGAAAATACTTTACAAAGTGTGCACCATGGTCGTCTTTCTGAAAGAAAACAAAGAAAAACAAAGTGGTTAGAAAATGGCTCTGCTACTTATGTTGCTTTAGAAGAAATAGTACTCAACAAGAAACTATTATAAGACTTAAAAAAGCTAACAGAATTTCACCACACTGGAGAACTTGAGGTTTACCACTCACTTCTCCTAAATACTTACCCAAACGTCTTCACTTTTCGTACAAAGGTATGCTTGCAAGAACCAAGTTGGCAATGATAGACCACAATGTAAACACTGGCAAAAAACAAGCACAAGTTCATTGTGGAAAGCAGCAAGGGGAAAAGCGATATAATATCGTGTTCCAAAAGGGGAAAATTTGGTAGCCAAGCCAATTATGGCGAGTAAGTCATATTCTTTTGTGCAGAGTATGATGGAAGATGTCTGCTGTTTTAATGTAAAAAATGTACATAACAAGATTTCTTTACCAGCAAACATTCCAAGAAATATTGCATCTATAGAAAAGCCAAACAAAGAAAGTGTTATACAAGCACACAAATCAAGAATGGGTAAATAGTCCCCCCAAAATATTTATGTATATATCAACATTTATAATTAATAATAAGAGAATCTCTAACAGTAAAGTAGCCCAATTTTTTGTTTTGCTATGCAAATTCATTAGCCAAGGCACTTTTCAATTATGTACACCAAAATCCTTGCATAGCACAAATAAAGAATTGGTTTGGCTTGGTCATTATAATTTGTATTTATTGTTCATTTACTAAATCTACTTTATATTTTTAATTATTAGTAATTCATCATTAACGATACTTATAAATATTGCTATAATAATTTACATTACCATTATTATTCATCAGCAAATTTAAACCCTCAAAGACAAAGTCTTCTTCTAGACCTTGTGGTGATAAATGTGCTCAAATGCAGCTAACAGCGCAAGATGGTAGTGGTACTCTAATTTCCTTGCCCAATACATTCCAACACCATCAAACCAGTTAACTGTAAGCCACATGTCTTTGTCTTTTGTGTTCAGGTCCTTCCTCAGCTCTTGAACCATAGTGTTGTTTGTACTCACTCCATGTCAGTCGTAATAGCCAATAATTTAAACAAAGATTTCGAAAAACAGGGTTATCTGTATTACAGTCTGGAGTATCCATTCTCTCAAATTGTGCTGAGTCTTCATTCATTGTTACAACAGCTGAAACTTCTTTGCAACAAACACATTCTTCCACTCTATCCACGATTTCACAATGGCTACATGTGCACCTATTCAGGTAAAATAACAACTAAATAATCATTTTATATCAAAATATTTAAAGGTTGAAAACTCAAGCGTAATGTGATATTTGACATACGCGTAACATAATTCGGCAGCGTAATTCGTGCGATGAAACATATAAAAACAAAAACGACATAAATTGCAGAAACGAGTAAAATAATAGTATTCACCAGAATTTATCCTGAAGTCTGTTGGGTTCCGATACGGATTCAGTCGATGATGCAGCGGCAACTTCGTCGGAGTCGTCCATAGGCTCGTCGCTAGAGTCTGTTTCATGTTTTGATCGTTAATAATTTCTTCGTAGTTTGAAACACTGCTTCCAGAATAATTACTAGAGGAATCGTTTGAGTAATCCGTATCCATTGCGCAAAATAATTTAAAAACTTAGAAAATAAAATGCAACTATGAATATGCTTATGCGTAATTTCTACTTTTGCTAATATATTTTGTCCAATGTTGACAACGATATAACCGCGCAGTGACGTAACGAGGAAAAACCGCTGCTGGACTGCGGCTTCGCTTGCATGTACACAATGGCGATCAAACAAGAGTCAAAAATACACACATTTATGGCATTATTTCTCGAGTTAAATTTGAATTGGAAACCTAGGATTTCGCGAGAGAGGTAGGAACAATATACACTTTCATATGAGTGAAAGTTGTGTTAAGGTCTGACTGCTCCTTTAAAAAATAATGGAAATGCATGATTTGATATAAAAAGTGTGTCGGCGGACTATCAATAATACTCACTATCCCACGCCAAGCCGTAATTTTATTAAATTCATTCAAAACATCTTGCCAGTGATTTCTTTTTTTGCTCCTCGAGACTTTATAATCCGGGCGACTTTTATCATACAAAATGAGTTTTTCTCGCATAGATTTATCAAAACCTTTTGCCACTCCGCCATGTTTGAGTACAAAGTCTGATATTATTAGCCAATAGTATGCGCTTTCGTTAACGAAAAAGGTCAAAAGTTCATCTCTTCTAGCATGCACGAAAACGAAACTTTCATCGAGTTTTCGTTCAATATTTTCGTTGCGGCAGTTTTCGTTCTAATTTTCGTCGATATGGACGATAGTGTGGCCTTAGCTGAAGAGTGAGAAATCGCGAAACAGGCTTGTCGGGATGAAATTGTAGTTTTGTGTATTTTCTTATTATTTTTATTATTATGCTCTGCTCTTACGCATCGAGCACTGTACTTACGGTAAATCAAATAAACAAGACTTCCTACATATATATATATATATGCTCCAATTCCGGTATCTTCCTGGCCAGTCAATAGCTGGCAGCGGTATATAAAACTATATGGTAAGATGCGAAGTGAAGACTGGAAAACGTCGATTTTTTTCAATTGAGGCTGTTGAATCTGATGCGTAATTTATAAAATAGCAAAAGCAAGGTATGTTTTAACTTTTCTGAAAGTTTTAAGGAATCTCAGTCGTACTTTATGCCGACTCATCGTCATCGCATGCTCGATTTGGTCAAACGATCACACTATGAATCTTTATAACACCATACGACAGAACTTTGATGATTGAACTACACAACATTTATTTGGTGTTTCAGGATATTTTTCTGTGTTATTTAAGAAGAAAACAACCAGGAATATCTGCCAATTTAAAGCTGCACTGTCTATACGATATCATTAAGACCAATATATTACTATAAATTCTATATAGTTATAGTTTTATTGAATTAACATTTTATCAGTTGTTAGGTAGATAAATATACGATATATTGATCTTGTAAATGATCATATACATTTATAATGTATCTGAGAAATAGTGAATTGCATAAGAGCATACACACTGGCTGAACTGAAGTTTTGTACTGTTGTTTAAATTTTGGTCAATTACAAAGACAGACATGAACTAATTAAATGATAAGATAATTTATTACTTACCTTTGGTATACAAATAAATCTTAGTTGGACTAAAAAACAACTTTGACCATGACGAATGGCATCTATGCTGTGTGTTGTAGCAATAGTTGGTAGTTGAGTAATGTATTCTTGCAGTAAATCTCATAGACCAAATTTCCACTATTTATTTTATTTTAATAGAATCCTTCTGCTGTAGTTTTTTACTAGAAATAAATATAAACTGTATGGCGGAACTGTCCTGAGAATTAAAAGCAATGATTTTTAATTTTGTGAATTGCCTTGAAAACCTATGCTCATATTTTATTTTCCTTGTAAACTCAAACAATACTCATCATTGCTCAATAGATGATTGTATATGCTTTATCTGTAATAGTAGTTTGTTCCTACAGATTCAATAAAACGATTCATAAAAAATGATTAAATATGATAATTCAAAAGTGGAAGTGGTATATGGAAAACATAATTTACAAGTACTTCTTGCAAACTTTTCGGGAAAAGCATTTCGGGAAATGGAAATGGAGGATGTCCTACAAAAGAAATTGAAGAGCTGATGAAGGATGCAATTGACAAAGTTGAAGGAATTGGGTTGAATGTTGTTGTAGTAATGTCTGATTTGGGAGATATTTTCAAAGTTTGGCTAAGCACCTGAACATCAGTCCAGAGAGTCCTTGGTTTATGCACAATTAAAGAAAGATTTATTTGATGTTTGATCCACCACATCTGATCAAATGTGTTAGAAATAATTTGATGAAATACACTTTCAAGTTCAACCAGTTCACAGCCAAGTGGCAGGATATTGTGGATTTCTACAATAAAGATAAAAAGTTTTCAATAAGAGCAACACCTAAGCTGACTGATAAGCACATTGCACCAAACAACTTTGCAAAGATGAAGGTGAAATATGCTACCCAAGTCTTAAGCCACACAGTAGCAGCATCCATATGCACATATGTAAGTGTTGGATGTCTGCCGTCATCAGCTATGGGCACTGCAGAGTGCCTTTTGAAGTTTGATTCTCTGTTTTATTCTGTGAACGTTTCAACAGTACATTCACAAAAGTCTTTAAAATGTGCATTGACCAATACCTCTCCACACCTCAACTTTTATGAGCAAGCTATTCACTTCCTATCTAATCTCAAGATTTTTCATGCCAGCCAAGATTTAACAGGCAGAGTAAAGTGCATCAATGGATGGCTAATTACCATAAATGTGATTTGTCAGATTTG